TTCTCGATCTGCTCGTAACAATTTGTTTAATGAGAGAAAGAATAAAAATACGCAAAAATTATGCAGTAATATTATAATTCACCTGTCGAACACGGCGAATTTGATCAAAGTCATCAGGCAATTCAATAGATTTATGCAGTCTGTCATAATCCTTCTCCTCGACATATATCTCGTTCAGAGCTTCATTCACCGCATACACATTATTGCTCTGAACTGCTTCCATGTATGGCTGAACAAGACCAAGGTGTCCCGCCTAAACGGATCGAAATGAAATGTTCGGAGAATAATTGGACTTTCAAATTGGACTTGTTGAAAATAGCGTAAGCTTCTTCATATAATTGAAGATTGGCGCTCATAAATGCTTTCACAGCAGCAGAGACTTGGTCCGGGCATTTGCTTTCAGGCGAAGCTGTCAATACAACTTGGTCGATGAGTTGCCTTCTGAATTCATTTCCGGGGTCGAGAACTTTTGCCCAGAGATCGCCATCCTTTCTTTCAAAAACGTACATGAAAAAAACTCTGAAGGCATTGGATCAACTTCTCGAAAGAAAAAAAAAACAAGAAAGTAACCAACCACTCAATCACAGACCTCGCTTGCAGCTCGAACAAAGAAAATTCTTATTCGTCATGCTTATTTGTGCATTGTTTTGGTTGAATATTTTGTATTTTAAATTTGGAGTTAATTTGTGTTAGATCATGCTATGTTCGGTTTTAGACCTCACCTTAGGAAATTTATGATACGAAGTATTGAGTAGTGAGTGATTTGGGATATGATTTGGGCCTTCTTTGATCCGTTTGAGCCTTTCAAGCCGACATTTTTATCGAAATTTTTCTTAAAACCTTGATTTGAGCCTCGGAGAAAAGGTGTTCTTTCTTTTATCCAATGTGTATAAGGTAGAATAGATAGAGATTCTTGAAAAATTACTCCTTGGAGTTCGGTTGAAATTTTTTATAAGGTCCTTCTTCTTCTTCCCCGAAAAAAAAAAGAAAAAAAAAAGAGAAAAAAAAGAAGAAAAATATACATGTGTCTATATATATAAAAAAAAAGAAAAAAAAAAGAAGAAGAAGAGACTAGAAGGGAGAAGTAAGGACTAGTTGTTGAATTGTTTTGAAAGTTCGATTCATTGTCTTAAGAGAAAAAATTGAGACTTTTGAACTCTTAAGAATCGAGTTTATTAAAATCCTTAGAGGTGACTTCATTATTTCAAACGCTTATATTTCAAATTTCGGCGTAATCACCTCAATTAAAAAAAGAATAGCCACATATACCCATATTTTCTACCTCGGACCAAATAGCCTAACAATTGAAAGTAAAAAAGCCCCAATGATCCCAATAGCTTAATGTTCGATATTAGTAGAGTATAATAATTTGGTGAGTATTTAAAGTCAAACATATGCATGTAATAATTTTTTTCTATCTTTAATTTACAAATATTGGATGATTGAAGCAATTGCATGATTTGTGGTTTTTGGCTATGGTAAGTGGCTAAGTGCTTTTGAATTTTGAGCTTGCGAATGCCTACGAATTTTCATTATAATTACAAGTTCTGAAAATATGAAGTTGGTCATTAATCTATGTGATGAGATGCGGTAGTTGAGTCATTTGCTTACAATTAGATTTTGCGCGAGGACAAGCAAAAGTTCAAGTTTGGGGGTGTTGAGTATAGATATTACACTCAATACTTTTACTTTACGTGGATCTTTTGTTTAGATTTAATTATATATGTGCTTTATTGATTGATTTTGTGTTTTATAGGTAAAAAGCACGAGGGAATAAGAAGTAACAAAATAAGATTTTTAGGGTAAATTACAACAATCCGTGATACAAAAGAACCTTCATTGTCTGCGAATAGCTATTTTACCCTTCTAATGGTAATTTTCTTCTGTACAGAATATCGTTTGTGGAGGCTGTCCGTATGAATTTAGCTGAGATGGTTACAAAATTTTAAATCTCCCTGTCCAAGATCAAAAAAATTGTGGTAACGACTTCATCTATACATAGTGAAAAAATGTCAAATGCTCACTTTTGAAAATGCTTATGATTATTTTTTTTCTTCTTTATGCTCTTTTTATTTTAAAGGCTGTTCGGTCATGGTAGCGGTTTTTTTGGCTAGTCATGCTGCTAAGCTCAGCGACTATACCTTATCTGACTGGGAGGCGGCAATTCGAGAATTAATAGATAGAGTGCCCATAGTTTGTCCCACAGAAAAGACAAAATAGATGACGCAAATTGTTATGATGGGAACGTTGTAATTGAGTTTTATTATATAATGAAGTATGGGATTGCGTTGGAGTCGAAATACGAGTTCAAGGCGTGCAGAGCAGCAGATTATGTGGACCAGCAGCCTCTCCGTGTAAGTTTGCTAACTAAGAATTCATTATTTTGATCATATCCAATTTACTTTAATTGTCGGGACACTCGGCATCTAACAGCTTCCCAAAAACTAACGGAGCATTTCCTGGATTGACCTAATTAGAGAGACAACAAAAAATCACTTGTGTGACCTAAATTACGAAGATTCAGAAAACAGAAGCCCTAAAAACACTCTTTAAGTTCAATTCCACTAACCACAAACCTAAATTACAATAACCGCAAAACGAAGCCAACGGATATGGAATTAAACTGAACAAAAAACAACGAAAACATGAAATTAACAATTCCCTACACATTCAAATCGAAAATATATATACTGAACATGAATCCATCGATTAATTCCAACAGAGTAGTCAAAGAATCATAAATTAAATAAAATTAAGAAATACCGCAAGTGCTTCTTTAGCTTCTCTCACGTTCTTCAGAACGGCATCCATGGTTGAATCGCGAGCAGCTGAAGAGTGTGGTTGAAGTGGGCAGTGATTTCGTGTGTAAATGTTATAATAGTAATCGCAGCAGCCCTAATATGCTATCGTGCGCAGAGGCGCGAACTTCATATTCTTTTTTTTTTTTCTTTTTTTTTTAAGAGACGAGGACAAATTATAGTTTATTAATAAAATAAATATTTGGGCTTTAATTGATGTTAGGTCCAAATATTTAATTGTTTTATTAATTATTTATATATTCATTTGATTACACTGGTGTGAAAAATGGATGATCCAAAGTAGACACGGCCACGGGCCGGT